GGGGTGGGGGGGGTGGGGGGCGTCGGCCGCACAGGCGCAGGGGAGGGGGCCTGTGGAGGTGACGGGCCAGGACTCCAGTGGGAGGTGGGCCAGAGGCAGCAGACAGGGGCTGGTGGATGAAGGAGTGAGTTGGGTGGGCTTCCATCCTTTCCCTGGAGGGAAGGGTGGTCCGGGGCGTTCACAGACCAGGAGGGCCTGGGAGAGCGGGGCCGTCAGGTGGCCAGAGGCTGAGGTTGCTCCAATTTCTGCCCCTGTACAGGGGTCGCTGTACCAGAAATCTACCAGGTCACAGAGGGCTTTCCCGAGCGCCCTCTGCCCCCGGAACTCCAGGACAGCTCTACTTTCCTCCTGCTCCGGACTTGGAGCCCAAGCCCCAGAAAACAAGGCCTGCTGGGCCCCCACTGGGCTTCAAAGCACTTTCGTGCTGGACTCCAGCTGGTGCCACGCCCTGCGGGGTCTGGGGGCCCAGGGCGTGCGGGAGGTGGTGCCCTGGACGTGTGCTCCCTGAGGGCCATCCTCACAGGCCGTTCTGCTCCCTGCCCAGCTGCTCAGATGCCTCCTCGTGCTGCAGGGGTCCCCGTATGGCTTTGCTCTTTCCTTGACGGTTAGAACAGACATGGTGTCCAAGGACCCTGCTAAGCTGCCTGTGTCCACAGTTGCTGCTGGTAAACCTTCCTCCTGAGTTTTCAGCTGCAATGTAGGCCCTTCAGGGCCTCCTGCTCCTCCAGGGCCCAGGCACCCTGGGCTGTCTTCAGGGAGCCCCTGCCCGGGGGCCCACTCCCTGGAGGACCGGCTGATGCTGTGCAGGAGGCAGGCTCCAGGGGCACTCTGGGAGTGCGTGTGTGCTGGCTGGCGCCGCTGGAACCCTGCTGCAGGCGGGGTGCAGACCGTGCAGGTGCGTGGAGTGCCCAGGTGCGTTTACGCTGCACTTAGAGGCCGGGCGCCCAGCTGTGTTTGGAAGCAAGTCTCCAAAGTGGCCCTTGACGGGGAAGATGTGCTTTCATGTTCAGGGGCGGCGAGAGGACAGAAAGCTGGGAGCCAGGGCCCCAGCCTGGCCTGGCTCTGCAGGCACCCCCGCCCCACCCGCACCCCTAGGACGCACCTGTGGCTGCCTGGGTGCGTCTTCTTCCCACCTCTTTTACTGGGAGATGCGACGTGCTCACAGGAAGGTGTACGAGCAAGTCAGGCCGTGTTGTGACCACCGAGTGGGCGCCTGGGTCACCACTCCCAGACCTCCCTACCCGCCAGCCCCCCCGTCTCATCACCCTCAGGAGGCAGCCCCTGCCTCATTCTTGCTTTACCGTCTGAATATGTGTCTCCAAAAAGCAGACTCATTTTATGTTTTTTTTTAATGTAAACAAACAGCCATACGGAACTGCTTCCTTTGCACCTGACTTCCACTTGACTGCGATGCATTGGGATGTGAGTGCTGCAGTGTGGGGCTTCCTGTCCTGTCCCTGTGAACAGGGATACCCAGCTTCCTCACCATTCTGCTGTCATGGGGGTCTGGGCTGTCCACTTGGGACTGTTGGATGAGGCTTGGGTGCACACTGGACCCAGAGGGGGCTGCCCGGAGGTCACCAGGCTGCACCCCAACCCCCCCGCTGCCACCGCCCGGGCATGGAGCTTCTGGCTGTGGCCTCATTTGTGTTCTTCTGACCACATAGTGAGCCAAACCCTCCTCTGCATGTGGCAGCCCCTTGGATGGACTTTCTGCTAAATGCCCATTTCTCTTTTGGATTGACTGCTTCCTTCTCACTGAGTTACAGGTGTTCGTCTCACAGTCTAGATGTGGAAGGTGTTTCTGTGTCACCGGTTACTTCTCTGACATGGTGACTGTCATTTCTCACTCTTCGTGGTATCTTTAATGAGCTGAAGGTGGTCAGTTTTGCATACTCTAACGTGGCATCTTTCCCTCCATGGCTCATGCATCTGTGTCTTGGGAAGGAGCCAGCACCAGGTTGTCACTGTTCCCTTTGTCCACACTTCACCTGGAATCTCTGTTGGTGTGGATGAGTGTTTTTTGATTCCTTATGGATACTCTGGGGTCCCATCTTCCCAGCACTCACTCCCCCTCCAATTTCAGAGGAAGCACTCACTCCCCCTTCAGTGAGGGAGAATTGTCCACAGAGTTGTCGGCAGTAACGTGCCCAGTGGGGAGAGGAGCAGGCTGGTGGGGGCAGGTCTCAGAGTGGCAACTTCATCAGCTGAGTGTGTCAGTATGTATCTTGAGGACAGTGGGAGCCGGGTGTTTCCCTGTGAGGGAAGACAGTCCCAAACCCAAGGAGGAGGAAGGGGAGAAAGAACTGGCAGGGCATTGCTGTGAACTTGTGGAGTTTTGAAAATACATGCACAGAGAGAGATACAGAAAGAGTTGTGTGTGTGTGTGAGAGAGATGTGTGTATAAAGTAGGTGTGTGCGGCGGTGGGCCTACAGCTGGGAGTGGGCGGATGCCACGGTCTCCTTCCCACAGTCCTGACCATAGTGGGGTGAGGGCTTTGCACAGGACACTCCTGGCCAGTGCCTCCGTCCAGGCAAGCGGTATGGGCAGTTGGCCTCATGTGCGTTGTTGTCCCCGTGCTGTCCTCCCCACATGTGGAAATGTCACCCTAGGGATAAAAGGCACATGAGGGACAGAGGAAGGGCCTCTGGTGAGGACTGACCAGCCCAGCGCTCCCCCTGGGCCCTGAGCTGGCTGCTCGAGAGCAGTGATGCCACTCCGTGGGGTCTCCTTGGCGGGGGAGGTAGTGGGGCGGCCATAATGTGTGCAGCCCTGGAGTACAGGGTGGAGAAGGCTCGGAACCACTGCTCTGGGAGTTTGAAACATTCAAAATAAAGTTGCTTAGAAACAGGCCAGTCCTCTGCTCTCAGTGCGGCTGCTGCCAGCCGAGGCCTCGTCTTTTCTCTGGCATTGCTGTCCCGACAGGCAGTGCAGCCTCATCCCTGTGCCTCCTGCCCCCAGTGTCCGGCATGTCCTGATGACACAGTGGGCCCCTGGCCTGTGTGGACCTCCCCCTCCCCCACCTGACAGGGGTGCTACCGGGTGGTCACAGTTAATTCTCAAAGGGGCAGAAGGCAGGAGGGGGAGGGCACACAATTTGGCAGCACAGGAGGCAGCGGGAAGGCCGCGGGGGAAGGCCACAGGGTGTGTGCCATGGAATGCCCAGGCCTCGGTCTTCAGCCGTCCCCAGGGTGGCCCGTGAGCAGGTCCTGGCCCCAGACGCCTTGCGCACAGACTCATGTGAGGCCTTTCCTCGGTGTTGACATTTGTCCTCACCTGCTTTCGGCAGCCAGGGCCGGGACCTGAGGGTGCACGTGTGGGACCTGGCAGAGGGCAGGAATGCCATCGTGGACTCTGTGTGCCTGGAGAGCGTGGGCTTCTGCAGGGGCTCCATCCTGGCCTGTGGGCCTCAGCGCTGGATGCTGGCCATGCCAGGGAAAGGCGGCGACGAGGTGAGTGCTGGCCTCCCAGACCTGGTTTATGAGCCCCAGGCACTCACCCTCCACCCCACGTTGAGGGAACACCTGGCCGGCTCAGGGACCCACGTAGCTCCGGGGCCTTGGGCCAGTCTGGGCCTGGTCACCTATGAGGTAGCCCTGGTCGTAAGAGTCGGGAAGGGGGCTGCGGTGGGCCGATGTCTCTGGGAGGCCTGGGGGCAGCACAGGATGGACGGGGGTCAGGGCCTGAGGCTGGCAGGGGCACTGGGGAAAGACTGCCAGGCAAGGTCATCAGAGGACTTGGGAGCCAGCGCGTGTAGAGGGAAGCCCCAGGCAGACCCTGTGAGGTCAAGGCGGGCCTTGGAGCCCAGGCAGCAGGGGAGGGCGCCTTTTGGGGAGCAGAACTGGGCCCTGGTGTGAGAGTCCTTGAGCAGAGCTGGGATGCGGGGGTGAGGGCTGGCACCGAGGTGGTGATGGCAGCACAGAGGGGCACCGACGAGCATGGGCACTTCAGAAGATGGAGCTCCCAGGACCGAGGCCTGGCAGAGCTTCCGAGGTCACTGTCAGATGGGGCTCAGGCCAGTGGCCAGCAGCGAGGGGTGGCAGAGAACTGGTCAGGCTGGACAGCAGTGTTTGCACCCCAAGGACAGAAGAGGCAGAACCCCCAAAGGAAGCAGAGCCCAGGACGTGGGGCCGACTGGGCAGGAAGCAAGGGCAGAGGAGGGGGGCCGACTGGGCTCCAAAGGTGGGTGGTGGGGCCG